CTACCCATTCTGGTAGCATGTACATCTGATCATAGATACGAGTACGTTATCGATCAATCGTATAATCGTTCAAAGTTCAAATCGTTAAGACATCTAATTAATTAGTAAGTAAATATCTACTTACTTACTAATTAATTGGATGTTTAGTTAGTAATTATCTGTTGATTAAAAAAGTGCAGATTGACAAATAAAAACAAAATGATTTGATTGTAGGAAAGGTAGAGGGTATCAAAAGCCTTTTTCAGGTCTAGAAAAACAAGTTTACTCGAAGGTTTTGACACGTAGGATGCAAGAGTAATCGGAAAGATTTCTATGGGAGGCACAATGCGGATTTAGGCCTGGAAGAGTATGCACAGATTAAATGTTTTCTCTCCGCATGATCACGGAAAAGCTTCTGACTGCTAACCAGAGGATTTTCTGTGCTTTTGTGGATCTTGAGAAAGCATTTGATAAGGTCGTAAGGAAGAATATGTGGGAACTGTTGCCGGAGTATGGTGTGGATGGCCGATTGCTAAGGGCTGTGCAGTCTCTTTACTGTGACTGTAAAGCCTGTGTGCGGGTAGGGCATGACCTGTCACCCATGTTTAGCGTCCAAACGGGCGTAAAACAGGGTTGTGTCATGTCTTCCTGGCTGTTCATACTGTATCTCGACAGCTGTTTACAGAAGCTGAAAGATAGCTGTTTGGGTGTGAAATTGCGTGACATAAAAGTAAATTGTCTGCTGTATGCTGTTGATGCAGTGCTTATTGCACCATCAGAGGCAGAACTGCAGGCATTAGTCACGTGTATGAAAGAGGAATGTGAAATTAAAGGTCTCCGTTTGAATGCTAATAAAACTAAGGTTCTGGTATTTGAAAGGGACGAAGAGAGAACGAAGTGTGAAATATGGGTAAATCAGGAATGTCTAGAACAGGTAAATGAAATTGTATACTTGGGGAGTGCTTTTAGCCGCGATAGAAGATGTGATTTAGATGTGGACAGGCGTGTCGCTGCCGGGAACAAAGTCAATGGTGACCTGACTGCGTTAGTGAAAAGGCAAGGCGTAGCGAAGAGTGCACGCCTTGCAATACATAACGCAGTGTTGGTACCGACTTTGTTATATGGCAGCGAAACCTGGGTATGCCAGAAGAAGTTGAATGCAGTGGAGATGCGATCTCCTCGTAAAATGGGCGGCGTTACCATGGCCGACCGAAAGCGAAACGAAGAGATTCGCAATATGGCAGGTTTGAAAGATGACCTTATCACAAAAATTGATAAGGGCGTGCTTCGGTGGTTTGGGCACGTTGAGCGAATGAGTGAAGACCGAATGGTGAAGAAAATATATAGCGCGAAAGTTAATATTAAAAGGTGTCGAGGTAGACCGAGACTAACTTTCGAAGACCATGTGAGCAAATTGCTCGAAGAGGGTAGGGTCAAGAGTACTCGGATAACTAGACGTGCATGTATGAAGAAGATAATGAATCTGAAAGAAGCGAAAGAGGTATGTAAGGATCGTGACACTTGGCGATCTGTTCTCTCTGGCTACCCCGTCAGGGATTGTGCGTGAAGATAAGAAAAACAGTCAGCCGTTTATTACCCCGGTCGACTTGGTCCGTAGTAAGGGAAGTGAGAGACAATAAACTACGTCCTCCGTAGATAATTCAGGCCTAAAACCAAAGTGTGAGCTAGAAATAATGCTGATTTTTCTGCCGACTTCCAAAAAGGAGACGGTACTCAATTCGACTGTATGTTTTTTTTTATGTGTGTTACCTCATAACTTTTTACTGGGTGAACCGATTTAGATGATTCTTCTTTTATTTGAAAGCTGATACTTTTCGTGTGGTCCCATATGAATTTGATCAAGGTCAGACCAATAGTTATTGAGTTATTCTTAATAACTTATATTGAAGTCGGCAGTACAAAATTTTTAATTTTTAATTATTCTAGATAATTAGATAGTCGAGTATTAATGAGTTTCTCAATGACTTGAAATCACGGGTAAAACTGAAATTGATCGATAATTATTTACGTCATCTCTATCTAATATATCAAATAAATCAATTTTGGTCTCAGGATGCGGTACAAAATGGCTTCGTAGGTTTATAGAGTTCAGATTCCCAGGGCTTATATCACAAAGGCATAAATGATCTTCCATCAAGATGGCAGAAAAGTATAGACAATGATGGTATATACTTCGAATAAATAAATATATTATTATTAATTTTAATTCTTAGAAAAATGTTCCACTTACAAGGTATGTGCTCATTTTTCACCCTTATTCTATTAAAAAAAATACGTTATATATTTTAAGAGTTAAAGTGTGAAACTGCCGTTTTGTACTGAAAAAATTTTGTTACGTGGTAGAGCCATGCTGCAGCTATATTAGTAGTATAGTTGTAGCACGAATGGGTCGGCTCGACCGGGGAAGGACCACGACCTCACAGAATACCAGCGTAAAATAGCAGCTTAACACTGCTGTGTTTCGTATGGTAAGTGTAGAGAACCGGAGACCCTTTTTACTGGAAAATAGGCATTCCATCTTAGTCCTCACGGGTGACAACGCACCTGCATTTTGATTCGCAAATAGGATAGATGTAATTGTCTATGGGCCACAGCAACCACTTACCATCACGTGGACTGTGTGCTCGTTTGTCACCCTTATCCTATAAAAAATATTCAACCACCTCATTTCTAAGAAAACTACTCGTATGTATTTATTTATTCGAAATATACACCCTTGTTAGCTATACATTTTTGCAATCGTGAAAGAAAATAATGTATGTCTTTACAGAATATTAGGGATATGGACTCTACAAAATCTACGAAAGCATTTGTGTAGCGCTTCCTGAGAATAATATTATTTTCCTTGCAATATCCAAATTGTTTTAAAGATGGTAATGGTTGTATGTACTAGGTCCGGCAAGTACAAATGATGACGTGTGCACTACAGGTCCTATAATATTAAAAAGTTTTGACGAGCAATGTGGATGTTGCGCCATCATGACGCAATAATGGTAAAGATTGATTGACTATATGCTTGCCAAGTCTTAAGTCGCATTCACACATTCGCGCGAGTGACGAGGCGAGCGGCGAGCAAGCATACCACTGCAAGACTTCAAGACACAGTAAGTTCATTCAGCGTAGATCGGACCAAAATTAATAATTAAAAAGCTCCTACCCCGAGTTAACTTTGACATCGGGACGTCAGTCCCCCGTGACCATGGGTGCTGTAAAGCGCCCGAAACGTCGGGAATGATTAAAAATAAAGTTAATTAAACACGATAGAAGTTGTAAAAGTGGTTTTATTCAATGTGTTGTGTTCGCGTAAATAGAAGAAATCATTAAATTTTATTTTATTTCAAAGTTGTCACTCTTTTAAAACGGCAACTTCATACATTAACGCCTATAATGTAATAATGACAGATTGTAATCGAAAAAAAAAGACAGAAAGAAGAAAGAAAAGTAGTACTATAACTTTAATAAAAGAACCCGAACGAACTGAACTTTAATGTTTTATTTCTTTACGCTTGTTAATCTCTATAAAAGGACCCGCGCAGACAGACATACGGACATTGTAACTTATTACATTAATGTGATACGCATAAATTCGTCAATAATTAATTACAAAAGGTGCCCCTTGCTGGGGTAGAGACAAGAGGGACGAGCCCCGGCCACCCCGTGCCTAGGCTCTAGCCATGGGGTTAAATATTATTATTATCGTTCATTGATAAAAGGGGTGGATAAAACGATTCAATTTACTTTTCAATGTAGAAGTGACGATGCAGTTCACCTGACGGTAAATATACATGGAGGCAGGTGACTCGAAGAATTTCGAACAATGTTGGCGACAGATAATCAGCTTCGTCATCTTCATTCTAGCTTAGTCCTCAGAGGTTTTTTTTTATAGGATAAGGGTGACAAACGAGCACACAGTCCACCTGATGGTAAGTGGTTACTGTGGTCCATAGACATCCACATTTATCCTCGATTACGAATCAAAATACAGATGCGTTGTCACCCATGAGGACTAAGATGGAATGCCTCGTTTCCATTAAAAAGGGTCTCCGGTTCTCTACACCCACCATACGAAACACAGCAGCATTAAGCTGTTATTAGACGCTGGTATTCTGTGAGAGCGTGGTCCTTGCCCGGTCGAGCCGACCCATTCGTGTTACAACTATACCAGAAATATAGCATGGCTCTACCACGTATAAAAGACAGAGGTGACAAAACATCTTTTTTTTTTCTATTCCAGAAGGAGGTTAATGTTTTTCGATAATATATATGTATTGTCTATTTCTTTGGCACGCTCTGTTGCCTAAACGGCTTGATAGATATTAACATATGAATTTTAAAGACGCATATTTAAGATACACATTGTTCCAGATAATTTAACAGTATCATTAGAATTAGAACAATGTGTAAAATAAAAAATTTTGTACAACCTACTTCAATATAAATAAAATGAGAACATAATACCTGATTTATCCGACTTTTGTTTTTCTCCCTCTTTCGCTTTGTAATTGATATTTTGTATAATATGTATTTTAATATGCAACAGACAGGTGAAAAGAAAATTCTATAAGAATTGAGCTCGCCTTTAGACATTCTTTTTACGTAAATTTACAATCTATAGACGTCACTAATATCTAATACTAATGTTGTACATATTATGTCGTAGTGCCATCCATGGACCAAACTCGTGTAGAGTTAGGTCCGTGGATGGCTCGTGGAAAACTGAAATCAATAATACAGCGCTTAGTAGGGGAAAGTGGGGGAATTGGGAACACTTAACTTCCAACGCCCAAAAATAATAGAAAAAAGTCACAGACATAATCAACTTTTATTGCAATATAAATTTTGTTTCTCTATCTACCTACTAGTGTCAAAAAAAATCTTAAAAATAAACGTTCTATTAGAAATATAAATAAAAACAAAAAACATTGCCGTTTCTATTTACCCGATACCCTATGGGGTAATTGAGATCAACCTGCGGGGGAAATGGGAATGGTATGGGGTAATTAAGAACGACATAATTCAATCTTTATAATAAAATAAAACAACTTATTTGTGTGGCACATATCACACACGTAACCTTTACTAGTCTCTCCGGCAGTACATTTTTCATGAGCCCAAAGTTTACAAATGGCGCACATGATCCAATCTTCTATCGGTGGGGATTCATACTTTTCGTTGCATATTATACAGTAAAACTCCTCTTCGTTTTCATTTCCTTGTAAAGCTTTCTTCAAATTTCTGATTCCCTTGCCCCTGACTTGTGGCTTCTTTTGTATGATTTTAATGTTTTTTTCTGGTTTTTTAATTGGAACTTTTTCTTTTTTAGCTTTTCGCTCACATTGTCTTTTCAGTTTTTCCTCTAATTGAATTTTTATTGGTGTGCTGGATAAAATCTGAGAATGCTTCTTATTCTGTCCCTTAGAAGTGGTTGTTGTTGTAGGAATAACAGGCACATTAATAATTTCGGCAAGAGGCACAGGTGTGGAAGGAGGAGGAATATTAATGGTTACGCTCAAATCGTTGTCATTTTCAGGAATAGAAGTGGAATCCTGTGTTGGTGTTTGACTCTGGCTGACAGTGTTAACGGACTCATTCAAACTTTGCTCAGCTTCAGTTTCATGAACATCGCACTCTTGAGTCTGACTGGTGTGAGATTGGTCAAATATCTTATTTTCAAAGCTGTCTTTAAATTTGTCTCTAGCGGCTCTAAATCCACTTAGAGCCTTGCATATGTTAGCTGTTTTGTTGTACGCTTTTGTAAAAAGTTCTCCAACCTCATACTGGCTTATTCGTTTGCCAGGATTGTTAACCATGTATAGCTCACATTCCTTATTGTACGCCATCTTCAGTGAACTGAAGATTGTAAGATCCAGTGGCTGCATTTTGTGAGATACATGGGGTGGCAAGGAAAGAACTTGCAGGTTGTATTCTCGGAAAAGTTCGTATGCTCCCAGGCTGATGTGACTTTCGTGATTGTCAAGTATTATTAATACTGGTTCTTCTTTGGTAGGTTTCACGAAAGAAATGAAGTGTCGCAAGTAGTCAAGAAATATGGACTCATTTATCCAACCGGAATCAGAAACAGTGGCAATCATGTCACTGTTACAGCCTTTAAGTAACAGTTCGCTTATTCTCTTTCTTTTAAAAATAAACATGGGTGGTACATATATGCCACTAGCGCTGACAGCACAAACTACTGTTGTTGTAACACCGCGTTCTCCGCTTGTAGCTTTTGCTATCTGCTTTAAACCTTTTGGAGCCAAAATCTTATAATTCTTTTGTAATGTGCTAAAGCCGGTTTCATCAATATTAAAAATACGATGACCAGGTATATTGTATTTTGTTTGTATCGTTTTTAATTGATCAAAAAACAGATTTACTTCAATGGCGTTAAAAGCTGAAATTCTATTAATTGAAGTAGCTTCTGGAATCTGTAAACTGATGGAAGGATGTCGAGACATAAAGCCATAGTACCAGTCTTTGCCAGCCAGCTGGGTTTCTGTGTTGAAATTGTGTTTCAGTTTGTTAGCTTCAGCAAATCGAAAGGCAATTCTACGTAATGAACTTGGTGTTATACCATAAAAAGACTTGCAGCAATTGAGTATGTATTTTTCTAGCTGGTCTTCTTGTTCTTTATTAAATACAGTATATCGACCTTTTTTTGGCATTTTAAATTCGTTTTGCTTTACTTGTTTAAATAATGTTGTTTTTGGTACTGAGTATTTGGTAGCAGCTTGGCCCAGTGTGAGCTTTTTACTTTTGACATCTTCGATTGCATGGCGAAGATCTTCAATTTGGTATTTTGGTTCAGTCTTTCGTATGTAATTTCGAGGCATCTAAAACAATTTATAACGTTAAAAACATTCTTACACAATCAACTAGAAGCACTAGGAATAAATAAAGATGAAAGGGGTAATTGGGAACGTTCTCAATTACCCGCCTGACACCGTTCCCAATTGCCCGAAGTAGTCAATATAAATCAAAATGGCCGCCACCCTCAACAATATTTTTTGTAAACTTCAAATCACGTTGGGTTTGAAACCAGATAGTACGTACATAATAGTACCGAAATATGGTGACTTTAAACTTAAAAATATGATAATTACATTTATTACAACACGCGACGAAAAATATAACAGAAATGCAAAAAAAAAATTCGACTTACCGTGACAGCGCGCGTGCGTCTATTCACTCTCACTATGGCGTACTTACTGAGGGGCGCTTGATACGTCTGTTAAACAGGTGGAATTGTGTAGAGCGGGGAGAAGCATTACCTATCTAGCTGTTCCCAATTACCCGCCGTTCTCAATTTCCCCACTCTCCCCTATCTCTACATAGTATAAAACAAAGTCGCTTCCCGCCATCTCTACGCTTAGATCTTTTAAACTACGCAACGTATTTTGATGCGGTTATCACTAATAGACCAAATTATACAAGAGGAAAGTTTATATTATGTATAATACATTCATATTATATTATATATTCATATTATATTGCCGTGTAGTGGCGGTCAAGAATATCCACTACCCCATATCCTCCCGTGGGTGTCGTAAAAGGCGACAAAGGGAAACAGGCAGGAGATGGGCAGCAGCATCTTCCTGATAATAGCCAAATTACAATAAAAAAACTGCGGTTGCCAACCCGCTCGCCAAGCGTGGCAACTATGGCAAATACCCCGAATGACTGAAATGACAGTAACAAAGAAACGGCCCCCAGTCCCCGGCGGCCCCGCTATTCCTGGCTACGGTGGCGACCATGGTAACGGCGGGGCAGGGGGTGCTAAGAATCTCCGGTGGAGGTTCGGTTGCCACCTTAGACGACTCGACCTGGCAACGTACAACGCACGCACCCTGAGGACTGACGAGAAGATCGTGGAGCTGGAAGAAGAGATAGACAAGTTGCGCTGGCATATTATAGGATTATCCGAAGTCCGAAGAGAGGGGGAGGACACGGTAATCCTCGAATCCGGCAACTTGCTCTATCACCGGGAGGGCGACCATCTGTCCCAAGGAGGTGTCGGATTTATCGTCCACAAGTCTCTCGTTAACAACGGGTTAAAGATCGGGAGTGTGTCGACGAGGGTTGCGTACCTTATACTCAGAATCACCAAACGGTATTCGCTGAAGGTCATACAGGTTTACGCACCAACCTCGGCACACCCCGATGAGGAGGTGGAGGAAATGTATGAGGATATCTCTAGAGCCATGCATTCCTCCAAAACCCAATATACGGTGTTAATGGGAGACTTCAATGCAAAACTAGGCACAAGAGAGAACGGTGAGCTGAAAGTAGGGAAATTTGGAATAGGGCAACGGAACCCAAGGGGCCAGCAGCTGGCCGACTTCATGGAGAAAGAGGGACTCTTTATGATGAACTCTTTCTTCCAGAAGCGGCCCCACAGGAAGTGGACCTGGTCGAGCCCCGACGGTTCCACAAAAAATGAGATTGACTTCATTATGACGACCAGACGACAACTGTTCAGTGATGTCTCCGTGATTGCGAGGGTGAAAACTGGTAGCGATCACCGAATGGTTAGAGGCACACTGAACCTAAACGTTAAGTTGGAGAGGTCTCGTCTAATGAAGTCAACGCTCCGTCCCCCTCGTGCTTTGTTCCAGAGTCCCGAAACCTTTCAGCTCGAGTTACAAAACCGTTTTCAGTGCCTGGAAGACTGCAATGAAGTGGACGATATGAATGACAAGCTCGTGGAAACTGTCCATGCGGTCGGAGCTAAGTTCTGCAAGACCCGCCGCAGAAGAACACAAAAACTCTCCGATCACACTCTTAATCTCATGGCTGTTAGACGGGAGATGAAGCTACATTCTTCAACAGACTTGACAGCATACAGGCATCTGAACAGACAGATCTCCAAATGCATGCGGCGGGACTTACGCAACTTCAATACAGCTCGTATTGAAGAAGCGATCGAGCGGAACCAAGGCTCCAAAGTCTTTGCCAGAGATCTGTCTGCCAGAAAGAGCCAACTGTCAAAGCTGAAGACAGAATGTGGCAGCATCGTTTCCGGGACACCTGAGATTTTGAGTGAGATTGAGAGGTTCTATGGGCAGCTGTACACATCATCGTTGGAGCCACACGCAAGTGTGAGTAACGATCCAAGAGCGAGTCTCATCCGACACTATTCCGAAGATATCCCGGATGTCAGTCTGAGCGAGATTAGGATGGCTCTCCAGTACCTTAAAAACGGTAAGGCCCCAGGCGAGGATGGAATTACAGCGGAGCTTCTGAAAGCGGGTGGAAGACCGGTACTTGAAGTCCTTCAGAAGCTCTTTAATTCTGTCCTCCATGGTGGCATTACACCGGAGGCGTGGAGCAGAAGTGCGGTGGTCTTGTTCTTCAAGAAAGGTGACAACGCTCTCTTGAAGAACTACTGACCGATTTCCCTTCTGAGCCGCGTCTACGTGCTGTTTTCGAGAGTCATTACGAATCGTCTCGCGCGCAGACTTGACGACTTCCAGCCTCCCGAACAAGCCGGTTTCCGAAAGGGCTTTAGCACCATAGACCACATACATACCCTTCGGCAAGTTGTACAAAAGTCCGAAGAGTACAATTTGCCACTATGTCTGGCGTATGTGGACTATGAGAAAGCCTTTGATTCCGTCGAAATTTGGGCGGTGCTGCAGTCCCTTCAGCGGTGCCAAGTTGACTGTCGGTATATCGAAGTGTTGAAGTGCTTGTACAGTAGGGCTACGATGGCTATCCGAGTACAGAACCAGAATACGAAACCTATCCAATTACAGAGAGGTGTAAGACAGGGTGACGTCATATCCCCGAAACTCTTCACCGCTGCATTGGAAGACGTTTTCAAGCTTCTGGACTGGAAACGATACGGTATCAACATCAATGGCGAGTACATCACTCACCTTCGATTTGCCGACGATATAGTCCTTATGGCAGAATCGCTGGAGGACCTAAGCACTATGCTCAATGACCTCAATAGTGTTTCCCAACGGATAGGTCTTAAGATGAACATGGACAAAACAAAGATCATGTTTAATGTCCATGTCACACCTATGCCGGTAGTTGTTGGGAGCACTAAGCTCGAAGTTGTTGACGAGTATGTTTACCTGGGACAAATAGTCCGACTAGGTAAGTTCAACTTCGACCGAGAGGTCAATCGACGGATTCAACTCGGCTGGGCAGCGTTCGGGAAGCTACGACACATCTTCTCGTCAGACATACCTCAAAACCTTAAAACGAAATTGTACAACCAGTGCGTGTTGCCAGTGATGACTTACGGAACTGAGACGTGGTCCTTCACTGCTGGCCGTATGAGGAAGCTCAAGGTCGCTCAGCGAGCTATGGAGAGGGCTATGCTCGGAGTTTCTCTGCGTGATAAACTTAGGAATGAGGATATCCGCAGTAGAACCAGAGTGACCGACATAGCCCAACGGATTAGTAAGCTGAAGTGGCTGTGGGCCGGCCATATAGCTCGAAGAACCGACAACCGAAGGGGAAGAAAGGTTCTCGAGTGGCAGCCTCGTACCGGTAGGCGAAGTGTAGGGCGTCCCCCCACGAGATGGAGTGACGACCTGGTAAGACATGCAGGAAGTCGATGGATGCAGGTGGCTCAGGACCGTGCTTTGTGGCATTCTTTGGGGGAGGCCTATGTTCAGCAGTGGACTTGTGAAGGGCTGTAATGATGTAATGATGATTCATATTATATATTATATAATTATTCTGTCCGTGTGTATGTGATCTCCTCAAAATCGATTTAGCAATTTTGCGATTTTCCGATTCTGATGATATTTTTTGTGTGTGATTAAGTCGATTAGAGAATGGTTTAGATTCACAATTGGACCCGGTAGGTGGCGTCATTGTCTAGATCCAGAAATCAACCGTGCGAAGCCGGGGCGAATCGCTAGTATTATACAAATTGCCAAGTCTTATTCAGAATGATAGTAGAGTTACACCTAACATACTTCTTAATGACCGCACTTCTATTGCATTAATTCTACTCTCATACTTACCTGGTGGTAAGTGACTACCGCCGCCCATGAACAACTGCAGCACCAGGGGAATTGTAGGTGCGTTGGCAGCCTTTCAGAAAGGAGTAGGCTCTTTTCTTGAAGGTCCCTAAGTCGTATCGGTCCAGAAAAGTCGCCGGTGGTAAAAGATTCCACAGAGGAATCGCACCAGGAAGAAAACTCCTATTGAAACGAACAGTGCCTCTCTACACTCTTCATTCTGGAACACAGCAGCGTCTCCACTGCTATTTGACGACAGAAATTGCTAAGAAGTTAGTACGTATCCAGGCGTACTTCTAGTCAGAAAGAAAATTCTACCACCTACGTTTTTAATGACCAAACCCGTGGTTAGGTCTATATTTTTGACGTAAGTACACTAATCTCTCTTATCGTGGTATATCTCCGAGTTTTTTTTTATAGACTAAGGTGTGTAAATAACAAACGAGCACACAGCCCACCTGATGGTAAGTGGTTTCTGTGGCCCATGGATTAAGAATCAAAATGCAGATTCGTTTTTGCACGTGGTAGAGCCATGCTGCAGCTATATGAGTAGTATAGTTGTAGCACGAATAGGTCGGCTCGACCGGGGAAGGGCCACGCTCTCACAGAATACCAGCGTAAAATAGCAGCTTAACACTGCTGTGTTTCGTATGGTGAGTGTAGAGAACCGGAGACCCATTTTACTGGAAAAGAGGCATTCCATCTTAGTTTTCACGGATGACAACGCATCTGCGTTTGATGCTTTATTGAGGATAGATGTATGTTTAGGCCAAATATTAACATTTTAAAAACTTACATTCAAGACGCGCGTCTCGGCGTGTCCTTCCGATGGAATTTAAAGGTCACCGCCG